GTCGTCGTTACGTCACTTGGTACCAGGAAGAAAAAGAAAAATCTCCAACGAGGCATTCTGGGGCAGCATAGACCGGTCTTTTCTGTGTTAGTGTTAGAGTTTTACTCGCTACAGGGTGTACTTTGAGGGTTTGTGACTTTGCAGACCGTTAACATGCAAAAAAAGCTACATAACACATAAGGGGACGGGTAATAACCGGAAAAGCATGACATGGGACCTTTTAAGGAGAATATTCTTGCCTAATTCTTTGTATTCTCAGATTTTTTTTAAAGAGTGATTTGATTTGTTTACAATATATCCGCAACACTTAAGCTCAGATATATACTGAAAACTCCTGCTTCCAGGCAGTTTTAAAGCAATATTACTTGTATAACTTTTTGAAACTGAAACTTGTGAGCAAAATAGTTATTTATTTCATATATGTTTTCCCTACTCTACAGATCGAAGTCTACACAATAACACTAGATGTTCATAAAAAACACAGTGCCCTCTACTGGTAACACGCCCTTACACACGCCTCCCTGTTACCTTGACATAGTCGACGTTGTAACGCTTTAACGTGAAGAATTAAGGCAACAAAAATTCTCTCTTACCAATTAAATAACCGGTGAATAAAACCACTCCCAGTGTGACAGATCCAGCCAGGGCCTCTTTGGATATATAACGAAAAGCCATCTTTTAAACCACAACTGTGATACCACACGGATAATCTGATCCCAGCTTTAGCGCTTCCGTGTTGTCTCGCGCGTTACCGTAATACTGCGAACAGAGGCGAAGCTGCGAGGGATCAGGGGCGCGTAACCATGTGAGACTGTCTGTTGCGTTTCTATCCACGTACTATCAGTCACATGTACAATGCCATCGTGTGAATGCCATTGTGTTTAGTGGCGATGAGATAAGGAAAATGCATAGTGTTGCAACCCCAAATAATCCGACTAAACAGAAGAAAACAAATGCATATTTACTAAAGCCAAATGAACAAAGTGTTGATAATATAATGCATCCATGACATTTAAAAAAGAATCATGCAGTTGCAACCGGTTTCAAGAGAAAAACAACTCACCACAAAGTTGCGTCTGAAGATGGCGGCTCGGACGTCAGGGTGCCTAACAGAACTGAATTCCTGCTGAAACGACCCTTAAAAAATCGAATCATTCATGTAGAAATGGTCATATGACCTGCTGCAGCTCTCATGATAGGACTGTAAAACCGACGCCCATTGTAATGTTGGGACTCACTGCTGCGTACTAGTGCATGTCCCTTTCTTTTGGAAATATGTATGACAATAATAATGTCATTTATTTATGCAACAGCACAATGGTAGACAACAGTTCATTGAGTGGAAGTTTCCATACCACTATTTATTCTGTAACAAGTTCTAAAAGCTCTGCAGTGAAACTCTTGTTATTTTTTAAAAAAACTTTCTGAAAAGAAAGCTTCATAAATACACATTTATTATTATTATTATTATTATTATTATTATTATTATTATTATTATTATTATTATTATTATTATTATTATTATTATTATTATTATTATGTGTGGTAGTATGGATTGTGTATATATATGCAGTTACTTTAACATTTCAATTAATTCACAGAAAATTGAACTGTTTGTTTTAAACATGTTATTGAAGTCCAATTGTTTTATTAATTAAATACAACACAATATAATTACTCCACAGAATGCATATAAAAGTTCAACTCAAAATATTTGGACATGTAATATAGGTGTTCGTACTGAGAGGGGCAGTGTTTTCAAGGCAATAAAGTTAACTTACAGTTAGTAACACTTACTGGATATGAAGAACATTGAATATTTGCAATGTATTTGTTGATGTGCGCACTGTGATGTACACATTTCATTAACCTTTAAAACAATTAAATGATGGCTTGTATGACAGTTGAGCACTAAACACCTGAATTGTTTTGGTCATTTATCAGTAATTATTTAAAGAGAAAAAATATGTATGACATGAGGTGTTGTGTAAATTAGAGACCATGTGTTTGGGTTACCCTCTGTGTGTGAATCTGATTTAGTTAAATAGCATTGTACTGAGGAAGGCCTAAGGTGACTAACTAATTTTAATATTTTTTTCTTCCGTTTACAATGTCAGCATTGTTTAACTGATGATATATAAGGCAAAACATTCACAGTCCTGGAAATAACAACAACTGTTTGGGTTTCGTCCTCATGCTACATGACTGAAAACAGATTTGATCACATCTGAAGTTTAAAGAGGATTAGCAACTTTAGATATTGTAGAAGAGCTTCTCCAACCCCATTTCTTTAAGTGCAACAATAAAACATTTTGACAAAAGCAAGTAACATTTTAAAATAGCTTCAATTTATTTTTAAATTGATATAAACATGATTCTTACTCATAGATATACTTCTCATAAAGCATAAACGATCCAAAAACTCAAATTAAATAATAAAGAGGATTTATAAAAGAAATTAAAATATATAAAAGTCAAGTCTCAGGAAGTGCAAACCAGGCATGGCTGCAGACCTTCAACCCAAATGACGCTGTTCACTAGTGATGAATAAAACAAATGCAAAACCTTATAACTTACAGCATCATTTCCAAATGTACATTCACCATTTGAATACAAACTCTAGGTCTAACTAGTGACGGATATAAATATATCCACTAGGAGTATACGAGCATCATCAGTTTCCTATGTGCTGCATAAAAGACAACAGCATCATGCATGAATATTTCTGAAAAAAACGATACCAAAACAAATGATGCCAACTCATTCAGTGTGTGTTAAGGCCACGGTGACAGCACGGTGTCTGTTTGATAAGGACACTGTGTAGAGATTAGTATTCATTCTCAAATTGGAGAAGATTTTGACCAAGTGTTTTTTCTTCTAAATGACCCATCCTGTTCTACCTGATGGATAGCTTGAAATCTGATGCTCTCTCTTTTCCCTGACCTCCAGTTCCCAGGATGCCCTGCATGACTGTTGCTCACTGACGGCGTCTGGACAGCAGGGGAGGACAGAGTCTTCCTCCAGGGGACTCGGACGCTTCCAGCTGGGACGCCGAGGTGTGGAGCTGGCCTCGGGGTAAGCCCCTTGTGTGTGTAAACACCATAACAATCCAGCTGAGAGACACGCTCCCTGGGTCGGGGGATTTTCTGCTATGCCAGAACAATGTCGACACTGTTGTGATGATTGCATTTTATAGGCCTGCCTGACTCGAGTCTGCTGTTTATGAGAAGAAGTGTTTTATGATGTCACATGTCGGGATGATTAATGTGCTCTGAAATGTGTAGGCCATCTTTGTATGTGTGATGAGGCAATATTCCGTTTTTATCACAGACTACAGAACACTTTATGAGTCCATTATCTTTTTCTACAGAGGACTTGTTAAGCTTAAAGTGACCAACTGTATTAAACATTCACCTGGTTAATCAATAATACATTTAATTACTTAACAAACATGCTCTACACATTTTAAATCCAGCTGAACAGTGTTTGTCAGAATTCTCTCCCAGACAATGAAATGCCATGCAAGTCATCTACTCTCCACTCTTGATTTTTGACTTTGGCAGCAGACTTTCTCGTTGAGTGACAGATGAGCAAGCGATACGACTCCATCAAAAAGTGCAGCCTGACAGCTCTCTTCAAACCAAATATACTCCTTGTTCCTGGCACTATATCAATTTGACAAGATGAAAAGTGTTAGAAAAATATATATACGTGACAATAATAGGGGCTTCACTATGAAGTAATACAAAACAAATGCCCATGTACGTGACTGTGTCACAGAGTGTGTAGCTCTTCAGTCTTCAATTTGTCTTCAATAATTTGTCTTTTATGCTGTTGCATAATAAATATCCCTTTCCACATTTGATTGAAATATTATTGATTCATCTATTGATTTATATTTAAAAATCAGTGGTTTAGGCCATGTGTTATTTTGTTTCCAGGAGCACTTAACATAATTCAGGATAAAAAAGATTTATGCAGATATGGGTTTTCATTTAGGTTGAATGTATACAATGACTTGCTACAACCTGTGCAGTTGCATGGATCACATGCGGGATGTTGCCATTTTTTGCAGCTATTTTTGTGTTTCGGTTTTTTTCTGGGCTCTTGCACAGGAAGAAAACTTCCTTTTTCAGATTTTTACCATTTTTAAGCAGAAATGACAACATATCTCTACTTTAGGCTTCTCAGATGTGGACATTCTCTGCTTCTTCCTCTCTGCACTGCGATGAACTAAAATGGATAGAATGATGTTTATTATTTTGTTAATAATGTATAATGCGGGGCTTAATGAACACACCAAAGAACCTTTAGAACCTAAGACCTCTGGGTAAACATGACCCTTTTATAGCCATTAAACAAGATCTTTAGTCAATTATTCATCAAAGTGAAATGCTTTCTGCCATTAGCAGCGGGCCTACATGCAGTTGTGATCAAGTCACTAAATATTCTTGTACTTGTGCTGTCATCACTCTAGTGTGTAAATCCTCATCACTGTGATATGCCTACATTCTGCCCTCCCATTTAGCTAATAAAAAGCATAGACCTAAATGATTCATGGCAACCATTTACATAATTCATAATTAAATCACTACTCGATGGCTTGGAATTTATTAATAGTGAAAATGCTTGTGCCGCCATCGTGATATACTAATTAATATCTTTACTTATCATTGGCACATTGCTCACTCAGCTGGGGCCTGGTTATGGGGCAGGAATAATGCAATGCAACAACAAATTATCAGTGCATTTAAGTGGGAATGTCTCGGAGTGATGGCCACAATATGCATTTGCCTGAAGAACTTAAGGGAAGAATCTGTTTTTTCAGAGTTGTCACGTTCTGGCTAATCATTTTGAACACTGTAAAGATTAAGGCTAATGCATTTCCATCCTCTCCCGCATAGTGCTGCAGGGCATTTCTAATCGTGCTGTACACTTTTCCCACAGTCCAAGGAAATGTGTGCCACACATGCTCTCAAATCTTGTAGACAAAGAAAAACTGAAAATTAAAACAGCATTGTTAATGAAGCAAATGTGTATTTTGATACTGGTCTAAATGGTTGTAGTGCTAAAATGTTAAGCTGAGTAATTGACAGAAAATGTAATTGTTTACAATTTTGATAGAACATTTAATGATATACATTTTTTTTTTCATGCAATAGAACAACACATTTGCTGATTCTGGTTCCTCAAATCTAGCTAGCCATTTCAATAAAACGTGTCAGGAACTAGCTTTGGAGTTCATACTGCAGCAGAACAGATAACGCACCATACTAATAAAACTACAAAAGAATAAACACATAGATAGAAAGCAAAAACTAAATGTGCCTCAGAGGGCCAAGGGTTTTTAACTCAGTCATTGCATCCTGTTACAACAGTAGATTGCCTGTTTTAAAAAAATCCCCTAAAACCCAAAAGTTGACGTGACCTCATTAAGACAACCCTGAAACACACGGGTCATGTTAATGAACCCTTGTCACCAATTAACCTTCCCTCTTCTCTTATGAGCTCAATGTATTTTTATTTTCGACAGTTAATTCAGAATTGAACATCCAGTAACCCTCCCCACCAGTGGACAAACAAAAGGGTCCTCTTCACTAATGGTCCCTGAGGCTTCACCACTATCTATTGATCTGCTGTCACCCAATTTCTCTGTGACTTATGCCCTGCTTAATTCCCATTACTGTGCACACTGAAGCCTTATCAGGGAGAACAATAGCCTTGTTGTCACTGAGGGCA